AAGAATGTGGAAAAGTCCAGAACAGTTCTAGATTTGAGTTCTATTTAGCACAACCCTATGCACAAATAAAATGAGAGAAAATACTAGGTGCCACAAGGAAATATTTAGTCGTCATGGAGACTTGCTGCCCAGGATTTTTCTAGGCCTACCTTAGGCATTATTTACTGAAACTGCAAACCCCTATTTTTGTTGCTTGCTGTTATCTAGAATTACATTTATTGGAGTCAAAATATGGATTTGTAGTTTCAGTAAATAATGCCTACAGTATTTCCAGTCTTATTTGCTTACTTTTCAATGATCTTTATTTGCAGGTTTTTAAATTTCCAATTTTTTTTTGTTTATCTTCTCTAATAATGGAATATGTGAGATAACTAACACTGTTCTAAATACTTCACTAAATGACTTTCACTACTAACTGAAAACTAACTCAATGTCACAATAATTATCTTATTTAGGTATTCTAGGACTACTTTTATAAACTTACTTGATCATATCATGTGCCCTCTAGCTGACATCTAAATTAAAATATTGAGAATATAGCTTACTCCATTATGATTATTTCTTGTCCTCATTTACTGTTACAAAGTAATCTGCATTAATGCTAATTGAAGAATAACTTTGAATTCATAATTTTCAAAAATTTGCCCCATTGTTGTTGAAGGAAAATATCAAAGCTAACTGCAATTAACTTAATTTTGTAATTGGAAGTGAATAATTGATGTTCCAACAAATATGAATTAAAAAAAATTCTATTATGCAATATGTTTTAGATACTTTAATTACCATTTTTAAAATAGATAACAGATATAAATGTATTGTAAGAGACCCTGAGACCCTCAATGTAATTGTTATTCTAGATTTCTACCCAAAAGAGGTACAAAAGCTTAAACTGTTATTAGCATAATAACTATATTTTTACTGTGGCTATTATTGTTAGACAGTAGTTCAATGAATGATAAAAGTGTTAAATAAAAGAAGTTATCAAGAACCATGATTTGACTGGAACACTTCAGTAATATAAAAAATGAGATTCTAATGATTCAAGGTTGGTTAGAAAAATAAATATAGCAAGTGAGTGATTGGTGCAGAGTTATTAATTTAGAAAAAAATTACAACACTACTGATAATTACTGTTTTAGGGGTTAAAAGTCTTGAGAACAACAAATATTTATTAAACATACAAAAATTAAAAAAACTTAATCCTTATATTTTTTACTTTCAAATTATCATCTCAACTCCCATTTTTGAGGAAATAATTTTACAGTCGTGAGTTAAGCATGTTGCATACACAGAGCTTGCTTCAGAACTCAAATATCGTGGACCCACCCACAACTGTACATAATATGAGCTAGGTGGCATCTAGAACCAGCCACCAGTATGAGGAAAATTTTGAAAATTTGGTGAATTTTCCTGTAATGTAGAATATTTTAAGCTTGTATATCATTAAAAAATAAAGTAATAGAAATATTTCTATAAATTGAAAATTATTTGACCAAACATGTCTATAGTATACAAAAGCCAAATATGATGCTTAGCCTATAGTCTACTTAGTACTCATGTAAAATTAAAGGAAATGCAAAACAAATGTATAATTTTTGCACCAAATTATGAAATATACGTCCAATGTGTGCTGTATTGACTGAAAAAACTAAACGTGGTAGTTGCCTGTTCTTTCCAACTGGGGTGCTCAGGTACAGTTGTTCTCCTTCAACCCAGCATGTGCGAATAACTTGATACAGTGACTATAATCTCGTTTAGAAAAACTGATGGGAAGTTTTTGAGAGAACACTGTGACGAAGGTCTGCAAAGGCAAGATGGTTTTCTTTTCCAGTGGTGGTGATGAACAGAGATGTTGCAGCTGTAGATGATACTAAGAGTAGACGGGGCAAGATAGAGAGTATTCAGAGTATTAAGTTTACATCATATTGTCTATTGACAAAGCAGTAGAATTATTCTGATATTAATTTGGATTTTTTTTTCTAATTTAGGAATTGATTTTATTTTAAATAGACTTTATTGAAACATGTGTTATAAAACTATCTGAATTTTGATTGGAAGCCCTTTTCAGGGAGTGGGGAACATATTGTCCAAAGCCCAGATGGAGTTTATTGAAGGGAAAAACTGGAGTATCCAGAGGAAATGCACCTTAAAAGGACAGATGCCGAATAATCTGTGTGTCCTGGTGCTTAATTGAAAGTAAAACAGTTAAGAATCTAAATGAACACAGATGTTCTTTGCAGTTGTTAATCACTCTAAAAAACATTATTCTGCTCTTTTTCTCGTGCCTGGTAACTAGTGCATTTTTGGCATCAAATTATTTGAAGTAGGGTCCAAGAATATTAGGAGTGTATGTATCATGTAGCTACACACCAAACAGCTGGCTATGGAAAGCTGTTTTTATGTACATATGATTATTTCAGCTTTAGAACCTTGGAAGTTGTAAAACAAATACAGGAAGTTCATTTGTACAGCTTTTAGCACCATCAGTTTCATGAAAAAATTCGCTGTTTTCAAACCATTTGCATAAGTGTTTTATTAACAGTTTCTTGGGATTAATTCTTTAGCTCAGTTGGTAGATCACATGCCTATTGTGCGAGAGGTATTCGGTTCAATATGGAGCTGAAGAAATTATCATATAAGCAACAAACCGAGCAAAGACTAAAGATTTGCAGCTTTGTTCCATACATTAAGTTTTAGTTGTACTCGTTGGAAGATTACCTGTTAACTAAATATTTATACTCACCAAATATAAATTATAATTGGAAGCAGAAACATAAAAAGTAGAAAAGTTTTAATTTTTCTATCTCAAAAGCAGTTTAAATAAAATTTACATCAAAACAAAATTCTACGCCAGAACATTTTGAAGAGAGAGAGAGAAATCAAACAGAATTTTTTAAATTTATTGCTTTTGCCCTCATGGAAAATTCTGGATAACAGGCTAAAAAGGTGTTGACAACCTTAGCCTTTCAAAGAAGGTGGAAATTACCAAGAATTTGAATAAATTCATTAGAACAAGATTATATCAAGTCACGAATGATATAATTTAAGGCAGTGAGTTTGGTTACCCATTTTGCTATATATTGCTTATATGATCCCCAGGTGAGTGTTTCATTGTGCCTGGTAGGTTCTATGTACTGGAATGTATATGTAACTTTTTCATGCTGTGGCAGAATATTGGCTTTCTAAATGACACGTAATATAACATTGGTTTCGTTGTGTTTGAATATCTAACAATGACTTGATGTGTGTTTAAATGTGTTCTGTATTTATTTACATTAATTTAGCTCTTCTGAGATGAATTTTATATGCTTGCAAGTTCTCACTAATGAATAGTTATTGAATCTAACAATAGGTATGTAGCTGTGGCAGTCTTAGAACTTGACTTTGACAGAGTAGATATTAATCAGTGTCCTATTGGTGAAGGAAACCCAAGGCCCAACTATTTTGCAGGTACAGCAAGATGTAAAAACAGGACCACAGAGGTAAGCTGGATTTTGTTGTAATTTCTCATATTAAAATTATACAAAAATAGTAATTAAATGTTAAACAGTTTTTTACTTTTTTTATGTGAATCTAGCTGGGTGAAATAAAAACTCATTATTCTTAACATAATAAATAAGTGCAACTAAAATACATAAAGGTACCAACATTTAAAAAAGATGTACTGTTTTCAAGAATTCTATCAATATGAAATTAGATGAGAGTGGCGGATACAAATCCCCCCCTCCCTCCAATCTTCCTCGTCATCCTATATCACTGTGTCAGGCTGTGTTGATATGGTAGATTGATCAAGAAATGTGGAACATCTGACTCCTCATTGTTTTGTGTGGTAGATGGTATTCTGAATTACATGTTTAGTTATTTAGGTCCTGCAGAAAGACACAGCATGATCTTCAGATATTACCCATAAAATATAGAAAATCGAGTGCTGTTCATAGAAAATACTACCAACTAATTTAATCCTTTCAAGCTTGGTTATAATTTTTATTGAGATGGTGGACATCTCTTAATTTCCTGCAACTGTAAATACAGCTTGTTAGTCCTATGACTATGGGCTGTTTAGAATATCAGGTTTTTAAATTAAGTGTTAAGATTTTTTTTATTTTAGAGTTGCTCATGAATTTTTTTAATTTTAGAATGTTGACTATCCAACATGCAAAGTAATTTTGATTTTAAGATTAAAAATACTTTTCTCTATCTGAAAATCGTCAAGTTTTATTTGCATAATTTCTGTATCCTCCAAGATCAGACATTTTTTTGAATAAAACTTTGTTTTTCTTGTTATTTTATCAACCTTAACTCTGTATGGTGTTGGTCGATTTGACTGAACTCATAATCATCATTAAGATTAGGAACTAAACCAAAGTAATTTTTATTCTAGAATAAATCCATATTGTAACAGGAACCACAAATGTTTATTCTAAATAGCTTAAATTTTGTAATATTATATATATATGTTTGTAAATTTTTTGTTTTATTGGCCTTTGATTTTTTTTTAAAAATAACCTGACACAAGTTGTAAATCATGTGGTACAGGTCATGTTACGGCATCAAATAGTATAATGCACAAACTGCTGACAAGTATAACCCTTGAATATTTTTACTTTTTTCATTACCTTATCTAATAAGTTTCTATTTTGTACATTTTAGTTAATTTTATAATAATAAGTACTGAAAACAAATGAAAAATAAAAAATCTCGGATTAAATATCAAAGTTCTTTTTTTTCTGTAAAGCTTTGTATTTTATCTGTTATCTTCTCTACTGTAACGTTATACTTGATTCTCCAGGTTGTAGATATCAAAGTATAATGAAAATAAGGCTCTAAAGTACAAAATAAAATGTATAGTATTGTTAGTATTGATAACAAAGTTTCAAAGTAGTTATGGTCAGTTTATACTTCTCACTTTTCCACACTTTTCTGTAGTTATTTATTGTTAGGAGACAACTTACAAACTAGAAGAAACAACAAAATGAATAGTACTGTCTGTCCTTTTCAGTATATACAATGAAGTGTGAAAGTAAATCTAAGAGTTTCTTCTGATCTTTTTACACCTATTTCCTATGTTCATTCTACTGTTAGCAGCTGAAGTAGAAACCTGCCAAATATAAAGCGATGAATCACCTTTTCTGTTTAGATGTTACCATACTTTGAGTACTTTGACACTATCAATTTTATGCAAGCTTTTGTGGGGCAATTCCCAGAACTTTCCCTGCTTTGAAAATACAGTGGGATAGAATTTATCAACTTCTTGACAGTATATTGTCTAATGTATTATAAAATGATTATGTTATGGCTTTGTAGAAAGTCTGAGCCAATCCAATAAACTTGGTAGGTATTTGAATGTTAGTTACCCTTTCGATGTGATTGAAAAATAAGACATTTCCCACAGAGTCTGTTCGAATCCCAGCTTTGAAAAACAGTGGGGTAGGATTTATCGGCTTGTTTACAGTACAGTGGTTGAAAGAAGAATTGTCTAAAGTACTTTATAAAAGTGAAAGAAAAAATAAGCTTGGGGTCTACAAAGTTGTATCCAATCCCATAAACTTGTTAGGTATTAGAATTTTAGTTATTCTCCTAGATAGCTGGGATTAAATGGTGATATAGGTGTAACAGTGTGTAAGTGCTTATGAACATCCTGTTTTCTATTTTACCATACTTACACAGGAACCAATAAATGCATAGTTTCCAGTATTTTGTAAAATACAGTGACATTTTGGTTACCACACATTACATACGTATATTTATACATTATTACTATTTACAAATAAATAAAAAATATTTGTAAAACAATGATCTCCACTATTAATGATATTATATTTCAGTTATTTTATTAAAACATAGAACAGTAAATGAAAAAATATTTGAAAAACAATGATCTCCCCTACTAATGATATTATGAGGTTCTTTTTTGCACTTTTGACTCATACTTGCTAACCCTTGTAGTAAGCCTCATCAAAATTCAGTTGTGGAGGTTGAAAGAAATAATTTTTGTAGACTTTATATATGTATTTCGAAATACCAAAAATTATAAATGACGATACTGATACCACAAAATCCATTGTAATTTACAATGCCTCCAAACTATGCTGCATTTGGGTCTAAAAAAATCTAACTTCTGTTCACAAAATAGCATTGATCATAATACTTCAAACTCTCCAAGATATATGAGCTTTTCTCTCGTAAATAAATTTGGAAGACTAAGAGAATTACGTATAGGAAATGTAGGGCTTTTGATTGGTTATAAACTTATAGGTATAGAAAAGTAGGCATAGATAAACAAGTTTTCTCAAATGATGAAAAAGTGGGTGGAGCCAATATGATGGATTTGCTAAATATTATGATAGCTTTGCAAATAAAAAAGGTAGGAGGTTGTTATTTTTTATTCTAGCTTGCTTATATTAGAAATTTGAGTTTTTCATTTGTAAGAAACTATAGATGTTGTACTGTAGGTGTCATAAAATGACCAAACCCAGAAAAAATGATGTATCACATAACACTTAGAAATTGCATAATACTGAAATTTAAGTAATCTGTGCTTTGATGTGAAACTTATTGACATACATTCATCAAATACTTGTTCAGTAAAATTTTGAATGTAAGTACAAAAGTGATGACATGCTCTATGAACCCTACCCATAACAAAACCCATCTCGATAGGGTTATTGTACAAAAATCTGTAGACCTTGTACAAGTTTTTGTTTGTTTTTAGCTCAAATAGTTTGAAAACTGAAATTTTGAAGTTGATGATATAAAAAAATTCAACATTCTCATGACTTTTATTTTTACAACTTTAAAATTTTCAAACTAACAAAATCATAAATACATATTTTTAAAGCTATAATAATTGTTATTATAAATACTAAGCAAGGTAGTGCTTAGTATTTAGGGATGGGCCAAGAAAAAATGGCTGCCATATTCAATCTATTTATTACTATATGATGCTTACAAATGACTGCTGAAGTTGAGTTATAGCATTATTTGAGCACCAAATTGTCATTATCGAGTGTCTCACAGCTTGTGAGACTCCCAATATCAAGTGTTTCTGAGCTTGTGTAACAGTAATATTATTCTGTTCTTTTACCACACATACTTTTGAGGGGAATAATATAAAAGGAAACTACTACTTAGCAGTGAGTTCAATTTATAAGCATATATTATTTCCATGTTTCATAAATATCAGTTTCATTTCTGGTCACTAGATGGCAATACAAATTGTTCTTATATAACAACAGTTTGTGACTTTTCATTGCACAGACATGATATCTGCCAAAACAATTTCAGTAAAAGTTAAAAAAGAATAACCTAATGTTCATGGTATCAAGGAGATTAAGTATTGATGCAACTGACAGATCTGCTTACATTTTATTGGTGTCCAAATTTAAAAACAACAGTTTTTTTAATTATCAAAACAATACATTATATAGTTGCCGACTTTTGTTTTAATTTTCAGTGGGGCTGTTCATGTATGCGTTGTATCATACTTCGTGACTTGGAAGCTGTATGATGTCCTCCCTATTAATGAAATGACTGCAGCATGTGGTTGAATCGATTGTATGAACATGTAGTTAGTTGGGGTGAATTTGGAAGATGTGGTTTCTGTAAATATCCCCTTAATGTTGGTCCAGTGCTCCAGGGTATTTGTGCTGTCCTGGAGGAACCATTCCAGCTTCACTGGCCCCCAGTGTAATCCAAAATTAGAGAAACTGACAAAACTGATATGATATGAACAATATATATTACTATTGAATTATAAAAATAAAATGGATGTTAACTTATCAACCTACTTCAATGAAATTATTAAAAAAAGAGAGAGAGCAAACAAATAATTAAAAAATCTTGCAAAAATTACATATGATTTAGAGATGGCAATGCAAGAAAGTACAAAAAAATCACTGGATAAGTAATCAAATCTTTCAAAGAATAGCTTTTATCTACAACTAAATGTTGAATTCCTGTTAGTTGCATGAATTCAGGTTTGAATAAAAGCATTTAAACTGATTAGTGCTAAATAGTCTTACTGTGGATAATAACCATAAGCTTATAAGATTGACTGGCTACTTATGTTGGGATATTTGTATGGTTTTGTGTATTCATCTCTACTTTGTTTTTGTACTTCCTTGCATTGCCATCTCTACATCATATTTAATTTTTGCAAGATTTTTTAATTATTTGAAGAATTTAATGACAAACCTAAACAAGTACAGTCATAATTTTAGTGCATTACAGTTCGTAACTTGACTTTAGCAAACAGTAAATTAGCCTTAGTTTCTCTAAGTGTAATTTTTTAACCCAAGAGGAATTTCTTTAGAAACACAAACTGCTAAGCTAATATAAGTTGCCCTATGCATTTGTCATTTTTTAGTGGTAGATTCAGCTTGTGGAGGGTTTTTTCTTTCCACCATAAAGGGAAAAACTTTTGATGGTTTTGGAGAAAAGTCGAACTCTGTTGTCAATGACAATTAATCTTCAATAACTATAGTCACTTTCTGCCGTGAAAGGGTTAAAGCAACATTTCAACTACATTAGCTTACAAAACTAAATTAGATTAGCATTAAAAGCTTGTTCTTGTACATTTTGTATCATCATCTTTAACTTTCTCCATACTGGCTCGTTTCCAGGGACTGATCTCATAACTATTTTGTGCTTGTTATAACGTTTAATATAGTAAGCATATTTTCACAAAATTTAGCAGATTATCAGTAAACATTACAAGGCTTTTGTAGACAAAATATCACATTTTATATTAAGTTTTAAAATTTTGTGATGGTTTGCTCAGGAATTTTTCTTTTTGAATGTTGACTATCCAACATGCAAAGTAATTTTGATTTCAAGATTACAAATACTTCTATGCATCAGAAAATTTTCAAATTTCATATGCAAAATCTTTATAAGCTTCAGATAATTATAAAATGTGTTTTTTAGAAAAAAATATTTTTTATCTATTATTTTCACTATTGTATCTTTGTATAGGTTTTGTTGATTTGCCCTCATAACCACCATAAAAAAAAAAAGGAAATAGTTTTAAATTACACTTTTTCATTCTATCTAGAATGATTACAAACTATAACACAAAACCACAAATGTTTAGCCTAAATAGCTTAAACCTTATACATATATAAAAATTTATGTACCATTGCATTTTCATATTACAATTTGAAATCATTCTAGTAAGAAAAAAAGGGAAATTAAGATTTTTTGTGTGTGTGGTGGTGGTTACAAGACCAGTCAAATTGAACAATCTTGTATAAAGTTAAGATTGGGAAAATAACAGATAAAATACAAAGTTTTACTAAAAATAAAATTTGAGATTTTTGAGACAAAGAAAAGTATTTGTAACCTTAACATCGAAATAAATTAGCACTCGGACTAGTATATAGAAATACTATATATATTCATGGACAAATCTTTAGTAAAAATACTCCATTAAAAATCTGATTTTTATTTTTTGTTCAAAAGACTTGTAATTTTTATTGGAAGCTTGCTAAATTATGTGATAATATAACTAAACATTTATAGTTATAGTATGGAAACTCTGATGTTCACTTTGGAGGCATGAACTCAATCAAATCATTCAAGCCTGTAGTGAGAGAGTTAATGTAAAATCATATAAAGTTTTGTATTTAATAGAGATTTTGATTTTTCTTTTCATTTTATTTTTCTATAATTAGATATGAAATTTTGTGTGTGATATTTTATCTTGTTTAAAATCTGATAATGAGGATATTATTATTTATCTTCATGTCAGTCTTTTCTCAGTGTAACATGCAAGTTATCTTTTATTTGCTGTTTTGTAGTGTGAACCAATTCATGGTTATGGTTTCCGCCGTGGTGGCTACCAGTGTCGCTGTAAACCTGGATTTCGTTTACCTCGTGTTGTTCGCAATCCATATCTGGGAGAAATCATAGAGAGAGCAACACAAGAAGAGTATAATGAAGGATTTCACTGCAAAAATATCAATTGTAAGTTTCTTTACGATATAATAATTCACAGTTATACAAATATTTGAAAAGTTTTTTTGGTGTACAAAACTTGAAGATAGCTTTTATATGCGGAAACATCTGTTAGCTGAGTTCT